GCTGAATTTGAGCACCAGGCTGGCTGGGCAGAGGAACAAGCAACCTGCCCTGGAGGAGTCCCACTGCCTGGCTGTACGGCAGACCCATAAAGAGAAAGCCCTTCCCAAAAGGTGATGAACACCAGGGGGTGAAGCCTATGTCTGCCCCTCACACCCACACAGGCATCCATGTAGAGTAAGGACAGAAGTTAAGGAGGGTTCAGAGAAGAGCAGAAAGGCTGGGGCTCTGGAATGGGCCTGGAGAAGGAGCAGGAGGTACTAAGATGGGGGATGGAGAGCAGGGTGCAGCCAGCTGAACCCAAGATATCGTACTGGGCTCCGTGTTCCTTGCTGGAGATTCCAGGAGGCCCAGGTACTGCTCAGCAGGGAAGCTGGGCCAGGAAGGACCATACACTGAAAACCCTTCCAGTTGACAGAGCCTGGAACATTCCTTGGGAGAGAGTACCCCAAACCCTGTTTCAACTTGAAAGCAAAAGAATCTGAAACTGTTGAATGCCGGTGCAAAAACTGACTTCACAAAAGCCAATGTGCAGGGCATGACTGACGATTGAACCCTAAACCCAGTTCCCTACACCATCCCGCAGGGAACTAGGCCATCTGTCTTTGCTACTGGGTTCCACAGGGGACACTTCCCCTTGTATCCAGCCAGTTATTGGCCTTGTGAAGAAATTATATAGTTATTCTTCATAATAATATTTTAGCAGCAGTCAGCCAATTGGCCCTAGCCCCTAAATGGAAAGCCAGGAGTATCTGTGAGGTTTGTCACTGGCAGTATATATGGAGCCCCACCTGTGAGACAGGCTTTATAGATCTCACCTTCTACATGAGGAAGCGAACTTGGATTAAGCCACTCCACTGCCCCCCAGCCCTGTGCTAGTTAGAGACAGAGTTCTAAGGAGCAGAAAGAGGAGAAGCCTGTCTCTGCTATGTGTTTGTATTCACATTACTATTCACTGATGCTCTTGATTCCATGACACTCTTAGGAGAGAGATAGCAACCCCTTCATTCCTGGAAGAAGAAGCTGACACTCAGGGACTTTCAGGTGTCTGTGACTAGCATGTCATGACCTGGGGCTGGAACGGTGGACATTCTGCCCCTGCCTTTAGGCTCCCTGATCTAGGATGTGGTTGGAGGGGTGCAGGGAAGCCCCCATCATCTGTAGGGAAGGAGTAAAGGGGAAGGCCCTGTATCCACTTGGGGTCACCCCTGCCATTCCTACTCAGTGGGGTAGGAATTTACACTCAGTTCCTGCACATCTGGACACCTACTGGAAACAGTCTGATGTACTGCACTTCGATACACTGAGGTGATGTTTTCATGGTGTTCTTACCTCCTCACCTCCCTGAGTGCTTAGAAAACTCCACATCAACCCAGCCATGATTAAAATCATCTCTGAGTTTGCATAAGTATCTTCACTGAGAGTGAGCACCACCCCCTCTGGATTTATTCAAGTGACTCAAGCATATGTAGTGAGTTTCCATATGGAAAAACACATTTCTCAGTGCCTGGTACCAAGATCATAGTATCTTGGGAAGAAATTAACTAACTTTTTTATTCTTTCTACAACAGTGTTGATAGCCAGTGAGATCAAAACTGAGAAAATTACTCTTTAACTTTTATTCTGAATAATTTCAGACTTCTGAATTGCAAAAATAGCACTAGGAATCCTTTACATTCTTCATGCTGAGTCTCCAGTGTTTAAATATTTCATAGCTAGGATAGTTATCAAGAAAAGGAAGTTAACATTGCTACAATAACATTAACTCAACTGCTGACCTCCTGTGAATTCAAGAGTTTTCTAACATCCCTGCTTTGTTCCAGGATCCAATTACCCTTTATAAGAGTACTGCTGGTGACTGGATTTGTTCTTCAGACTGGGTTTTTCCAACATTTTCTCATGAATGAAGTAAAGTTAGTACTTGGGTAAACCCATCACATAGATGGTGCCTCATCCTTCCCAGGACTCTGTCTTGATGAGTGACCTTGACGAGTCTTATTCTTGGCAGTGTTGACCTTGGTCATGAGGTTTAGCTGCTATCTGCAGATTTCTCTACCCAAAGGTCTCATCTTCCACTTGCTATTTGAGTAGTATCTTAGGGAAGCTACTCTGAGACTACGCAAGTTCTCTTTCCCTTCAGACTTTTACCCACTAACTTCAGCCTCCATCAGTGGTTCTGGTCACATCATTTTCTAGTGTGGTGTTGGCCAAAGGGTGACTCGATTTCCTTCTCTCCCTCCACACTAAGAAACTGTACTATATTGTGAGGAAGGATGACTGCCATTGTCTATTTGATAATTTACCTACATTGGTATGGATGGGTGCACCATCTTTGTTTAACCATATGTTATTTCCAACATCTTGTAACTATAAAGTTGCAATGGTGATAGTCTTGTACACTTGTATTTTAGAATTATGGGAAGGGTACCTTGTGGGGGATGACTTGGAAGTGGCACTGCCAAGGCTAAATTTAGGAGTGCATGTTGGTAGGCAATGCCACACTCACCTCTGAAATGACTGGATCACTGAGCCTTCCTACTAGCAGGTACTAGAGTCCCCATTTTACCCACCCTCTTTTCTTTCCTTGTAAAGAGACTAAAACAAAACAAAACAGAATAGAACAAATATAATCAAAAGAGAGCAATGAAAATAACACAGGACTTCAAAACAAGACAACAGGAAATCAACGGTGGCTACCATAATGTCTCTTGTTTTATTCAAAATAATTATCCATACCTTCACATGCAATAAATTCAGACAAAACAAAATAGTATAAAACCAATCAAGCCAAAAAAATGAAAGCATTACAGGCCTTCAAAACCAGACAATAGGAAATCAACAATGGCTATCATAATGTCTCTTGTTCTCTTCAAAACAGCTGTCCATACCTCCACACATATTGAAATTTAATAATAGAAAACAGACTAAAACCAATCAAAACAAAGAATAAAAGCATTACTGGACTTCAGAACAAAATGATAGGAAATCAGCACTGATTACCATGTCTCATTTTCTTCAAAATAGCTGTTCATATCATCACACATAATAAAATTGATTCTTGTAAACTCTTGAGGAGAAATGCTAGGCATGTATAATCCTATCCATGTACATCTATCCTCTCTGTATTAGAGAAAAAACAAAATGAAACAAAGAAATCTAAGAAAAACAGGAAACAACAGGCAAATAACAAGAGCAGGAAACCCAAAACAATAACGATTAGGCTTTCAAAACAAGGTGGTAGAAACATAACAAAGGTTGTTCTTTTGCATAGTTATCTTCAAAAGAGTTGCTCTATGAGATATAGACATGCAAAATTGATCTAATCCTATGAAAATTATTTTGTTCAACTTCTTTTCTTTGATCAACCTCACAAGTGAGAATTATATCTCAGTTTATTTTTATTTTTCTAATTTTATATATATTAAGTACTTTCTCCTATGTGTGAGGATCATTTCTACATCATTTTGTTAAGTGCCTGTTCATATCTTTTTCTCATGTTTCATTTTTTGTTTTTGTAATCTTAAACTTTTAGAGTTCTCTATATGTTTAGGATTTTAGCAGTTTGTTTATGGTGTGTGCTAAGAAGATTTTCTCCCAGTTCCTCAGTCTTTTTTATTTTTCCATTATGTTTTTGTCACATGAAAATCTTACATGTCACATAGTCAAATTTATCAATATTTTACTTTGCTTCTGGATTCCGAGTCATTCTTATAAAGGCTGTCCCTACACCAGGGGTAAGGAGGAATCCTGCATGCTTATGAAAATAATATTCCAAACACATGCAGCAGGGTTTGTAAGAAATTTATCCTCCATCTGCTGTGCCCCCACCCCCATCACTACCAGCTTCCCCCAGCAGCTGCCTTCCCAGCTGACACCCAATCAGACCTCAGGCCACTCATCCCCACGGCTTGTGGCTTCACCAAGGCAAGAATTTACCTCCACCTACCTTCTGGTTCTCTCTCTCTCTCTCTCTCTCTCTCTCTCTCTCTCTCTCTCTCTCTCTTTCTCTCCTGTGTCTCCTAGATACTCCCTCCTTTTAGCTTCATTTTCTTTCTTGTGGCATTACTGATGACCTTGGAATTTCCCACTGACTCCAGTCCCAATAGCTCTGCTCCCCACTTCTGCCTCCCTCTTTCTTGCCTCTCCTTCTTTGTTCCTGCAGCCCCTAACATTCAGCATCTTCCTTTCCTCAAGACCACTCAGCCCTCTCCTCTTCTTAGGTGAATGAGTGGGTACATTTACTGCTATGTCTGCAGAAAAAGAACTGCAACGCCAGAACAGGCACCCACTGGGGAGTTCCAACATGAGGCAGAGCGCGGTGACCTGCTTCGTGTGGAGGGGCCTCTTCCAAAAGAAACAGGGAAGTCAGTCTGATGCTGAAGGCAGCAAAAGTTACCTTCATTTTTCATTTTTCATTTTTTTTTACTATGACCTTTATTCATTATGACCTTTAAATACACAGACAGCATTTTACTCTCATGGTATTTTGCATATCAATAAATTAAAAATGAAAATAAAAGTGATGTTTGATAGGGGAAAATACTATTTCTATATTTCTATCTCTATTTCTATCTCTATCTCTCTATCTCTCTCTTTTATTGTACCAATCAGCAGAAACCAAAAGATTCAATCTGTTCTAAAGCCTGGGCTTTAGAAGGTCAGAATGGCCTGGCATTATTTTTGGGGAAAAAAAACTTCTGGAGAGCCAAGGATGAAGAGATAAGCTACAGGGACTTATTACTATCTGGTTGAGCATTTTGATTTTTGATTTTGATTATCCTTTAAAAAGTGACCTATAGACTTCTCTGCATGTTTTCCCGCAGTGAATATTTACCACTGGGGTTAAGCATTGCAGGACCCGCCTCAGCTTCATTTAAATTACATACATTTGGAGAAAATGGATGCAGAGGAAGGATAAAGGAGTAAGACATAGCTGGAAGCGAAAATAAAGCATTTTAAATTCGTGCTGCCCAACATTTTGCTTTTGTTTTTGTTTTTGTAGGGACCCTCAGAGTCTGGACCCCCCAGAAGTCAGCAATGCCAAGCTTCAGTATGCAGGATGGGGCCCCAAAGGGCAGCAGCTGGTAAGCACAGCAGTGTCGTGTTTTGCTTTTCTCAAAGTTTGCATTTTCTACTCTGAGTGCACCTCACGGGAGTCAGCCTCGTACGCAGTGTGTGTGTGTGTGTGTGTGTGTGTGTGTGTGTGTGTGTGTAAATGAAGCTTTGGGCATATGCACCAGGGGACCCGAGTATGTGAAGTAGCTGTTTCTCTTTGGACAGAGAACTGTTGAAGAATCAGAATAGTATGTGTGTGGGTTCCATCTCTGGGACCCTTGAAGTGATGTCCACCCGTACCAGATGTACAGGTTCCAGGTTTGCTTGGAACCCCCAGGATGAAGTGTTTCTAAAGGGCTGTAGGTGTGGAGGTGCTAACGCAAGAGTGCCAGCCCTGCACACCTACTGGCTGACTGATCACAGATGGCTTGTTCAGTGGGAAGCCTGCTGTCAGCTTCCCTGTAAAGGAGGAAGTGAAGGGTTTGGAAGATGTGTCCTCTGACCTTACATTTGTTTAATAAGTAATATCTGTGAGACCTGCCTAGCTTTACTCCATGAGACAGTTTCACCCTTGGGGACAATCTTTCTGATTTGCAGACAAGATGACTTAGACGCTACATTTAAATCACCAATTTATTTTGTATCTTAAAGCAGATTAACCAAAGCTCCATTTTTAAAGCTCTTTTCCCCTAAAATAGCATACAAAGTGATTACATTCAAAAGTTTGCATAGGATTGCATTGGATAAGCTGCCTACTGTCTGAAGATTGGGAATAGTCTTATTCCCCCCCCCACTACAATTACATTTTCTTGGATGCATGTTAGATCCCTTGTCTTGAATTAAAATATTTTAGCTATTACTACAGCATTCCTAATGCTACAAACTTGTTAATCAGAGATTTCAAACACTACATTTAGTGGATCAAAACCAGAATGTGGCAGAAAAGGGAGGGCAGAGAGCTGACTTAGATAAAAGCTCTCTTTCCCCAAAGGCATTAACTCTTTGGAAGCACAGGCAAAGTGATGGTAATTATAGAAGACTTGAGTGCTGATGACTGGAAAGATAAGTCTCAGCAGCCCTCTGGAACCTATGGGTGAAGAGGTTCCCAGTGCCCATCAGACGGTTCTGTAGGTGTGGCCACCATGCCTCTGTAGAGAGCCCTCTTGCCCTCCACTGGTCCTGTAGCCTGACACCCATGCTCTGACATCCTCTGGGGAAATGAGGATGGAAACAAGAGCCTTACTGAGTGGCCCTTGTCCCACTTCTGGCACTTATGAGGAAAAGGATGTCATCATTGATCAGTTGTCAAGATCTCTTTCTGTCACCTCCCTCCTTGTCACCCAAGGGTTAGCACTAGGCCTGAGGGCTTGCATCTCATTGTCACCTACTAGAGGTACACGAGACCCTACAGTGTACTGACCACTGTGTCTTCCTGCCCAGTGACAGAGTTTACAATGTAAAGGGGAATAAAATCCCAGTGTGAAAGGGGGAACTCTGCATGCACATGTGTGCACAGATGCTGTTGACATAGGTCTAGAATCAGAGGCAGGCTGGTGACTCTCCAGACCACCTATCAGGACAGCTCCTTCCCTGCTGCCTCATGGACAAGTGTTTTTTCACACATGTCACGCCTTAGGGACAGAGGTAAGCATGAGTTATGATAGAGGTTATCATGTTCAACTTCTTCAAGAGAAGAAACAGAGCAAGAGTGTGACTTCATTGAGAAAGCTGCCCAGACCCCTCTCCTCTGGCACAAACTCTGTTAGGCAGCCTTCTTTGGGGTCCACATCTCACTGTGTGACCTTTGGTCACAGTGGACATGCAGATGGATACCCTTCTCCCTAATCCAAGGAATCAGACCTTTCCTCCCTGTCTTCTACAGGGCTGGTTCAGTGTCTGATGCTCACCAAGTATTTTTTGAGATAAAAAAAATGAATAAATAAATAGACTGGTTAATTAATAACATATTCTAGTGCTAAACCACTTCAGCATGAAAAATGTGGAGGAAGGTAAATAGCCAGAATTCGTGAATACGCCTCTGCCTGTGAGATTTCACTTTCTTTCTGTGTCAGAGTGATGAATTTCCAGTTAATTACTAATTGCTGATATTTGAGTTTAGTTCCAAAGATGCTGATAGACTCTTGGAATATTTGTTTTTAAACCTATATGGACTTCAGGGGTTTAGCATAAGTCCCTGTACTGCGTTTAAGAAGCAATATAACTTATGGTTGAGAGACCGTATGTTAGAGCAAGGGTTGGAAACTTCTTCAAAAAAGGAACAAATGGCAAAAGTTTTATTTTAAGCATTGCAGGTCTCATGGCTCTGTCACAATTAGTTCTCTTTGCGGTTGTAGCACAAAGGCAGATGTGGACAATGTAGAACACAGGTTTGGCTGTTTTCCCCAAAAACATTCACACATGCAGGAGCACTGGCCTGGGGATTGTCACTGGCTGGCCCCGGTTTTAGTTGACTTTATTTTTCTTGGGGGTCCTCAACTAGTGAGGCCTGAGCTCTCAGCCACCACCTCATGACAGGCACTCCTGAGCCTGCTCATCTGCAGAGAAAAGCAGCAACCATGAGCAGCCTTGCAAATACTAATCTATTATGATGGCAAGTGACAAATCCCTCGTTGCCATTCTATTTTAAAAAGTAAATATTGCTCCCTAAAGGAAATCTGCTCTGAGGATAATGAGGCAGACTGCAGTGAGTAATTCCCCGCTGGGAGCCAAGGATTCAGCTGCGGCTCAGTTTGCCAGGGTCTGAGTCCCTGAGTCACCAGAAGACAAACGTGGGCAGTACTAAGAGCTTGCAAAGGGCATCTCTCCCCATGTCTCTGCATACGGTTCAGGAGTGACCTGCATCCCTTAGAGCCAGCTTTTCTCGACCTCCAGTTCACGTGGGCATGAGTCCTGCCTGGTGGCGTGGGCTCCTCAGAGACAAAGAAAAAGCAAACCCCAGCTGTCTTTGCCTGCCAGCATCAGCTTCTGCCCTCCTGCTGGTCAGTGGTAGTGACTGCTCCTGGTAAGCACCTACGTTCTTTCCAAAACATTCACCAAGGACCGAGCCCAGGAAGAAGAAGCTGGCTGTGGCCAGATTAAACAGGGTTAAAGAAGGAGCAATGTGCCAGGTGAACGGCACCCCACAGCATCTCCCCGTGCTCCATTCTCCATCTGGAGGAGTCCGCAGTGCAGACGTCTGGGCTCAGAACAGCCACTTTGGGGATTTTCTCCATGCTGTAGCTGCCTTCATTTCTACCTCTTTGGATGAATCTCTTCCTGCACTGCTGACCCAAGGAGTTCTTATCTTTGCTCTCCTGGAGTCCTGCCCCCCGCCACCCCGTATATGGTCAGCTGTTTCTTTGAAGTTTTCTCTCTGCTCACCTAGAAAATGACTGAATTGTTTGGCTTAGAAATCTCCTGTCACTCCCTTATTGTCCTTTCTGCTGGAGACCAACACACTAGGAAGTTGATGCTGTGGTTGCCTCTGGGTTGGAGACCTGCACCTGGAGTGAAAGCCGCCCCTGTGCCTTGGCAGGCTGGTCGGAGTGTAGTGAGCCCGGGTGAATTTGTTATATAATATTTGTTCCTCTGGAAACAAGAAGTGTGGAAGTTTTTGCAGCTCTCAGACTGCCCAGCATTAAACAACATTAAGAATGCGCGACCGGCAGCTGCTGGGATATGCAGAGGCTCCAAGACGGAGAAAACGATCTCTCTTTGCTTGGCTTGCTACCGTGATGGAGATAAACGAGCAGTTTGAAAAGCACACTTAGTGAGCCCCTTGGGAAATCTTCCACGGCTTAGCACATGGAAAATGAAGAGCAGGGAGTGGAGTTGGCCCAGCTGGGGTGGAGCTGTCCTTAGAGAAAGCGTCCCAGAAAGGTGGCAGAGTGGTGGCCACACAGCCAGGCAGGGAGAAGGCCTTGCTGGCCAGCTGAGAGGAGGATGGTGCTCCTGATCGCTTCTGCTTGAAGATGTGGGGGACTACACTGAATACTCCTCCGAGACCGGAGAATGCAGTTAGCTTTACCTACCACAGAGGATTTCAGCTAGACTTTAAGGAGAACTTCCTTGATTCTCTGGCTTTTTTCCCTTTCAAATGTTTTTCCAGGGAAGATCTTGGGTGTAAAAATTCTTAAGGGAGAATTAGGAAGCTGCATTTCATCCTCATGGTTAGGTCCAGATGCCAGCTCTCTTGGCACGGTCTGCCTGGACAATTCCAATCCTCAGTGTCCCCCAGCCCCAGGAGCTCCCTGGGCTGCTGGATGAAGTCAGGGTTGCTGCAGCTGGACCACCACACTCACACGCTCCCTACTGCTTCACTCGTTTCCTGCCATCTTGCTGTCTGGCATAGTCTTCCCTGATCCTGCCCACTCACACTCCCTTGTCTGACCAGGCTCCAGGAGACGGGGCACTGCCCTGAGTGTGATGCTTTCCTTGGATCCCTGAGTAAACAACATTGCCTCCCAGCACAAAGCTGCCTCATCATCTGTCCTCCCTGCTGCTGGACGTGCCACCCTGCGGCCAACCCAGCTCCCCCAGCTGTCTCCACTGACAGCGGGAGTCCAGCCACCTTGGGTCTAAGTGGACCACTGGAATCCTAGGTGACCCCGTGTATTCCACCTTGTTGCCTGCTGCCTGGTGCTCTGGGCCTTCCTTACCTACACCCGAGTGCTGTCCCCTGGGTCTGTGACAGGCTCCACAGCTTATAAAGACAAAATTCTTCCCAAGGGAACTGATCTGAAGATGGGCCCTTCCCCTTTGCAGAGTCAGCAGCTGGCTGGCTCTTCTGTCACCAGCAGTGGGATTTAGCCCCATCCTCCCAGACACGGTTTCAGTCCTCTCCTTGTGAAACAAAGAAGAGCCAGAAGAATCAGACTGAAGCTTGGGATGCCTACATGGGGTTCCTGTGTGCCATTCAGCTTTCTATTTTAAATATTTTTTAAAACTAGTACATTAAAAAAAACTTACCTAGCTTGTGCAAGGCCCAGTACCACACACATTCACAAGAAAATCCACTGAAGCTAGGAAA